GTGCATAAGCTAAACACTGTCTTTAAACAATACAAAACAACAACTAAAAAAATGCAAATTCTTATTGGTTCTTATGTACCACAAATAAAAAAAATAACACCAAATAAGATATATTTTCATCAAGGAAGACAACGCTCCGAGAATACAGTATGTCAATATGTTCAGGATCGTCCCAACCATTATATCAGATTTGATAGAACACATATCCTCACAAAAGCACCGATTCCTAACACGGATGATTCAAGAGGCAATTGAAAAAAAAAATGGTTGGGTGCTACCATCTGCTTGGGATCCCATAATTAATAGATTTAAATCCCAACCTAAGCATACAACTGCAAGAATTCAAGATACTGTAAGCTCGTTCTGCGTATGTTGAACCAAAAATTAATAATTACAGGTTAAAGATAGCCTTCGTTAGCTATGACATCAGAAATTCAAACACCTCAGTCCCCCGTGACAATGGGTACTGTAAAGTTCCCGAAATGTCAGGAATAAAAAAAAGTTAAAATTAAACGCGACAAAATCCATAAAATTAGTTTTATTCCAAGAATAACAAGATTAATCAGTTAGTGTTTGTCAACTACGCCATGCTATGCTGGGCAGAAGGAAGGTGGTACCTACCTGGACGGACGTCTAGGCAAAACTGGAGTTCAACCACCTAATTCTAAAACCAGATGTGAAACATATTAGCGCGGTTACCCGAATATTTTGCAGGTCCTCCTGGAGCCCTTGAAGTTTGGCAAGTTCGTTCTCCCGCACGTGCTTCTGCACGTACACCACCTGGTTGGGGTAGCTCGGGGGTAGGAGATACTGCTTCATATCACTCCTCACACTCTGCGTTTTCGATGCGGAGGTCTCCGATGTTTTGATCGGCGATTTTTTCACTTTTGGTGATTTCTTTTCTTCTTTCACCTGAAAGTTAAATTAATCTTTAACATCTTTTAACTTCAGCTATGGTAGGGAAAGAAGAAAGCCTCGTCCGAGGAGGGGCTGCCATGGGCCGATGGCGCCGGTGGGGCCGCGGATGTGTGCGTATACGTTCCCGTGGCCCTGCCAATATACGGTAAAGATAGAACAAAGAAAAAAAGATACAAGGGTTTTGGTCGATACGAGTCCGACATAACCCGTCCTGGCCTTGTGAGGCGGAGCATTTCCTCGTGTAAAAAAAATAGAATAACATTGTTTGTATTCATTTAAGTTTTACCATTGGTCCGGGAATAAACACCTCGGTCCTGGGAAGAACCAGCAAGAAAACCAGCGGGACTTTTTTAAAACATTAATTTACAATATAATATATTTTATTAATTAATTATATAAATAATGTAGATATTATATAAATATTTTGAAAATATTTAGAAGCAGGATGGTAGCGATAACATCATTCCCAGATGTTATTATCAATCATATAATCTTTACCGTTACAGCCTATAAAAGTCCACTGCTGAACATAGGCCTCCCCCATAGGTTGCCTCGTGGGGGTTTTTGCCATACACACGCCGGGTGAGCGGGTTGTTAAACGCAGTTTTTTTTATTATTTCGAGTTGTTATTTTTTTTATAGGATCGGGTGACAAACGAGCACACAGTCCACCTGATGGTAAGTCGTTACTGTGACCCATAGACATCTACATCTATCCTCAATAAAGACTCAAGATGCAGATGCGTCGTCACCCGTGAGGACTAAGATGGAATGCCTTTTTGCCAGTAAAAAGGGTCTCCGGTTCTCTAGACTCACCATACGAAACACAGCAGCGTTAAGCTGCTATTTTACGCTGGTTTTCTGTGAGAGCATGGTCCTTCCCCGGTCGAGCCGACCCATTCGTGCTACAACCATAATATAGCTGCAGCATGGCTCTACCACGTAGAATCATCTTATAATATCATGTTATCATTAACAATCTGGCACAAAACTGTTATACATATTTTTAATGTATTTTGATTGTTATCTGTTTTGTTGTTCATATAATAAATAAATAAATAAAAACGCATATGCGTTGTTCAGGACTAAGATGGAATGCCTCGGGTTCCAGAAAAAGGGTCTCCGGTTCTCTACACTCATCATACGAAACACAGCAGCATTAAGCTGCTATTTTACGCTGGTATTCTGTGAGAATGTAGTTTATTTTATTTCACCGCTTGTCTACAAGACATACATATAAATACACATCTTTATTAATGAATAATTTACTCACTTGTTTAGACATTTTCGCCGAATTCAAGTTCAACACATTAAAGCCACAAAAATATTATTAACGACGAAAGAACTGTATAAAATTATTTTGACAAATCAATAACGTTAAACAAATACAAATATAAAATTAATCAATCCGTTCACTTGTGTCCAGCACATTTAAACTAACGCAATGCTGTCGGTCTCGCACTTTTTTTTTATACCCTCACATTTATTGTTGAACTAAATAAAAACTCGGGTGTAATACCGCGAAGTACGTCGCGGATAAACTGCATGTTTAATTTGTATTCTAAAGTGATTAATTACTAAATTACAATATTATCAATGATTTATTAATGTGGCGTTATTTATATTTAAGATAATCATAAAAGATCATTTAAACTCCAAGTTTGTATTGTAAAATCGAAGAAATTTTTTTTTATTTACAATTACGTGGTAGAGCCATGTTGCAGCTATATTAATTAGTATAGTTGTAGCACGAATGGGTCGTCTCGACCGGGGAAGGACCACGCTCTCACAGAATACCAGCGTAAAATAGCAGCTTAACGCTGCTGTGTTTCGTATGGTGAATGTAGAGAACCGAAGACCCTTTTTACTGGAAAAGAGGCATTCCATCTTAGTCCTCACGGGTGACAAGGCATCTGCATTTTGATTCTTTATTTGATTATTGAGGATAGATGTGGATGTCTATGGGCCACAGCAACCACTTATCATCAGGTGGACTGTGTGCTCGTTTGTCACTCTATCCTATAAGTTTATCGGATAAAATTCGACGGCTCCGTGGCGTTTTACACTGAGGGCCGCGGGTTCAAATCCTGCACGGAAGAATTATTTGTATGGTCTACAAATAATTGCTCCGGGTCTAGATGTTTGTCCTTGTGCAATTTATGTATGTAAACTGCCCCATAATACAGGAGAAATTCCTAGTGTGGAGGTAACGTTTATAAAAAAAAAATAGAAAAGACAGCTAAGATTACTTCCGGCATTGCTCGGTCTGTTCGTAAAATTTCATTACAATAGGTTCAGCCATTCCAAAGTTTAGCAAACAGTGAGACAGACAGACAAAAATGTTCATGTCTTAATGGTCCTCCGGCTTAATAAAAGGCAGTTATTTCGATATAACATTAGACAGACACTTCAATTTTATTTATATATAAGAAACTTCTCGAACTCGTTTTTTTTTTTTTTGTAGTATTTAAAAATCTTTACTCTCACACTAGGAACACTCCTGTATCGTGGAGGCACTTAACATACATAAATCGCACAAGGACAAACATCCAGACCCAGAACAAGTATTTGTAGGCCATTTAACTGGAACCATTCCAATTGGTCACTTGTAACCGATATAATTAAAAAAAATAAGTTTAAATCTTGAAAATGGAACTATTTGCCAATATTATTGTGTATGTATTTTATTAATTTGTCATTTGTTTACGATTTGGCGGCAAATTGAAAATTGTGTCACATCAGCATGGATTTAACGCGAAAAAATTTTCGTACAATGATTTTATATGACTTTCGATGTCATTTAAGTCAACAAGAAAGTTATGATAGACTTCCATTGGCGTTTCACGATGAAGCCCTATCACGTGCCACTGTTTACAACTGGTATTATAAGTTTAAACGTGGTCGCACTAATCTCACCGATGATCTGCGTGAGGGACGGTCTTCTACGGCGCCGACTGAAGATAACATCAGTGTTGTGCGGCGTAGGATAGAAACTGACAAAAGAGTGACTTATCAGCAGATTCGGACAAGCTTAGGCATCGGTATGAGTCAAGTGCATAAAATCCTCCATGAACATTTAGCGGTCAGGAAGCTTTGTGCCCGATGGATACCTCATAATTTGACAGAGATCCAAAAACTCCGTCGTGTTGATTGGTGTCGTGAAATGGTTCAAAGATTTAACGGAGATGACTCAGATGCTGTGTTCAACATACTTACGGGTGGCGAAAGCTGGATTTATTGTTATAATCCTGAAACTAAGAGACAGTGCTGTCTGGGTGTTTCCTACCGAGGAGTTGCCAACTAAAGTGAAGAGAGGTCGAAACGTGGGAAAAAAATGGTGGCCTCGTTCTTCGGAAGGACAGGTCATTACGCAACAATTGTTTTAGAGGATCGAAAAACAGTTACTACAGAGTGGTACACTAACAATTGTTTGCCACTTGTCTTGGAATAATTTAAAATTAAAAGTTCTCGCTCAAATTAAAATTAAAAGCTCGCAGTAGGATCTTCCTTCACCACGACAACGCCTCGTCCACTACTTGGCGACGTCAGACGTGGAATTACTGGCTCACTCCCCCCCCCCCCTTCTCTATAGCAACGACCTTGCACCTTGTGATTTTTATTTATTTCCGAAAATATAGGAAAACTTCGAGGAAAACGTTTTATGGACGCCGAGGAAGCAGTGGCTGCATTTCAAAATGCCGTCGAAGAGACCCCTAAGGACGAGTGGGGATAGTGTTCTCAGTGGTTTCATCGGATGCAGCGATGTATTGATGTAAATAGACACTATTTTGAAAAGATATAATAAAACAGCGACAGCAACTACTTACCATCAGGTGGACTGTGTGCGCGTTTGTCACCCTAATTCTATAAAAAAAATTCACAATAATTCTGCCAATGTCCGGTCTTTGGTCTATCACACCTTGTCTTGAGGCTTTTCGGTGGGAAAGGAGTTAGGGGTTATTAGGTGAATATGTGGATAAAAACAAAGTAACTAAATACATGCATTGTGGACCACACAATAAAGAGCAAACATCTAGTTATAGGAGGGGATTACTTTGACTTACTTTTGAATAAACTAATTGCGGTGTTACGTTGGTAGTTGGTACCTATTCTGTTTTGAAAATGCAATGGTCGCAAACATTCAATGCGTGTCAGTTTAGTGATTTTGATGATATTTTGCATTAAGGTGTAACTTGATCTACAGGATTTTATCTTCTAATATCGGACTTTTATTCCCACGGAACGTGATATAACAGAAATTTAAAAAAAAACATAAAATAAAGGTTACTGATAAATAAATAACATGACAATAAAAATATGGGGTAATACTCGTAAATATGGAGAGAATAAGAAAAATATAACAATAAAGACTACTGGTGGCTTCGACGTGTCGGTTTGTGACGTCACATCACGATGCGGAGCGAAGCCCGCATCGTGATGTGACGTCACAAACCGACCCTTACCGTAAAACACCACTTTACCCATCAATATTTCAGTCATTTTTAAAGGTAGAAAAAAATAAGAATACCGTTGAATTCGTAATATTTTATACAATTTTTGATACCCTTATAAAAATTGAATGGGCAGACCCATTGTGGAGCCGATTTACTTATATAAATTACACATGGAAAAATCCAGGCCCGGAACAACAATTTGTACCCCATACAAACACTTGTTGCGTGCAGGATTCGAAGTCGCGGCCCATAGGACTGAGACCAAATGTTTATTCTCTTTCATAGTAGTGAAAATTTGCCATAATCGCCACCAGATATCGCGTCCCTTTGACGCTACTCCCTATTTTACATCTCGTAGGTACGATATGGTTACAGCGTCATCAATCCGAAGCCATAAGATCGCGTCGGTATTCCGCTAGTCACCCCTTACCTACGGAACGAAATGATATAATGGATCCTCTTTCACCGCAACCACGATTTAGAATTTCTTGTGTTCTTTAAAACATAACCTAAGAAAAAGTAGCAGACTTACCTCATCTTCGTCATCGCTGCTGAGCGCAATAATTTCCGGTTGTGCGTCAATAACGGTCAAATCATCATCAATGACTTGCTCATTATAAGTGCTGCCACTTCCTGTTACTCTATTTAACACTTTATTACTTGAGAAATTGCGTTCACTTCTGGTTAAATCGTAGATCTCGAAGGAATCATTGTGTGTCAAGTCACATATTATGTCGTTGGTATTTTGAACTCTATTGCTTTTGTTTTTATCGTCAATTTTGAATGACTCGTTAAAATTGTTAGTTATATCCTTTAGTGGGCTGCTGAATGGTGAACATGTTATACTAGATTCATTGTGTTTATCGTCGTCATTGTTCTCATCGTTATCATTGTTCAGTTTTTTTGGTGTTTTACGCAAGGAGACACTTACGTCTGGTAAATCCGTCAAGCCGTTTGCGGAGTTTGGTCGTGATGTCGAATTCTAAAAATAAATAAAAAAATATAGATTACTAACGATACGGCACGGCTTCGCAGTGCGAAGTTCGCACGGGTGATTTGTGGATCTAGACAACAGCGCCACCTGCCGGGCCCAATTGTGAATCTAAACCATGCAGGGACCAAAAACAAACACAACAATTTCATCAACATCGGTCCACCCATTTAGGAGTTCAGTGACTACGTATGTTTGTACAGAAGAATTATAGATATAAAGAAAAAAATACTTTAGTGTAAAATAAATTGTATTTGTTAAACGTCAGTATTATAATATGCAAAAATCAACATGTTCTTTTCTGCCGACTTCCAAAAAGGAGACTGTACTCAATTCGACTGTATGTTTTTTTTATGTGTGTTACCTCATAACTTTTTACTGGTTGAACCGATTTCGATAATTTTTTTTTTTATTTGAAAGCTGGTACTTCTCGTGTGGTCCCATTTGAATTTGATCAAGGTCAGACCAATAGTTTTTGAGTTATCCTTAATAAATTATATTGAAGTCGGCAGTACAAAATTTTTAATTTTAAATTGTCCTTTTTCGCTATCAGCCCGTAAAAGTCAACTGATTCTCCCGTTATTGGGTGGATTTGTGTCGCTATCGCTACGCTCGGCAAGCGGATTGGTGTTTGCAGTACTATACGTCTCGCACCTTTGACACACCGTCGCCAGTCAGAAAATTTTACAGCTGGAGTATACGAGATACCGCCATCAAATGGTTCTTTAATGTATTTCATATAGACCACTTACGTCACCCCACGGTAGGAAATGGGGAGGTAATGGAACTTTTAGACTTACAACACGCGGCAAAATCGATATGGTAAAACGACAATGTCGTTTATATTTAGAATCAACATGTCCATATAAAATACAATTTAGCAATAAGCAAGACTTATATTTCAAACAGCAACAGAATCAAGAGCGCGATACATCTGATACTGAGACCAGAAATCCGTTTGCCAGGGGCATAGATTACTGTATATATACTAGAGATAGATGCTCAACTCAAATTTCATTTTCGTTACTGCGGAGTGCTTTGCCTAACAGATGGCGCTTAATTCTTACAAAAGAAGGAACTTGAAAAAAAAGGGAAAAAATCACATCACATCTGGGCTCGAACCGGGCTCTTTTGATTTCGGAACCGCCCGATTTCCCACCTGAGCTATTATAACCTTGTACATAGTGGCGAAACTTATCTTCATATTCTAATGATATTTTAGCAGTTTTTCATTGCCTAAACATACAGATAAAACTGCATTTACTAAAATTAAATCCTAGCTAAATCGATTTATTGCTCCCGAAACCCCCTGCACATTTAAAAACATTGCTTTCGCGACATTTTTCAACAAAAACAAAACAGGACCGCAGAAATATTAGTTATTATGTAAGAAAAATTAATTATTATAAAAGAAAACACACGCAACGCACGAGAAATTAGAATAATGTTCGATAAATATTAATTTTATTATTGCGTATGCATAGACTTGATATATAAGTGTGTCCTCTAGTGAAATTAAAATACGTCTAACCTAGCACTTCGGAATGTAGATGGAAGCATATAAAACGTATCATTTTGTTCGTAAAATAATGTTCTAAGTTGCATGCCCATGGCCAGGAGTAGCTAAAATGGCAATGTAAAAGTGTCAAATACTCTTATTTGACACTTTCGTCCTTATTTTTACATATACTTTTTAAGAGTTGTCAAAACAAACGCTTCATAGGCACTGCGCAAACGTGGAGACTTTTTGTTAAAGATACGGCACACCATCACAGGCAACCGTAGTCGCTGTGTCCGGTAGCGGCAATCGGACACAGTCGCCGGTTGCTACTTCTGGTCACTGTGTAGTGTAATAAAAATGGCACAATTATTATCTATTAAAGAATAGCTAAAATGCTATGGAGTAGAAAGAAAATTAAATAATGTTTAGCCAAAAAAATTAAATAAATAAGTTAAATTAATAAAGAATGACATGAAAAAGTATCAATAAATAAAGATGGAAAGAGTATTTCAAAATATAAATGCCTATACACTATACTAGATCTTCGCGAATTACCTAATTATGTCAAATAGGTATGTTGTATGTATGCATGAAACATCATACCCATTCTACTGTGACCTTGAAATTATTATGGGGCAGACAGATCTAGCCACCCGAACTACCTACCTATATTTACTTTTGTAATTTATATTCTATGAAATGAATATATATGAAAAATGTATTCATTTCTTTTTTTATTATTTTGTCGGTGGGGGAGGTGTAGTGTAGTATAGCCCCCATGACTATATATATTAGAGTTAAGTTATGAATAGAGAAGCAGTATAATTAAAGTTATAGTACCAACAACACGTCTCCTATTCATTTAACACCTTTCCTATATTATAACTGGTAACAATTCGTTGCTTGTTTTCCGTCAGTTTCACGATGGATGTCGTTGTAGAAACATTACTTTTGTTTGTTGTGTTGATACACGTTGACGTAGACGTCGTCACCGTAAATATTTACAGGCAAATCAACCACGTCAATGACAGCGCCGTACAATTTTTAAGGAAATTTGCTTTGTGTTGCTTGTGTCTTCAACTGACGACCTAAAGTTTCCAGTTACCTACATACCCGAACACTTTTTGATTGGCGGTCGGTATGTGTCAAGTGGAAGCAAATGGACACAAAAAGTGTCTGCGTCCGCACAAGGAATGGCTGATTTCTTGTATCCCACACAAGACACAAAAGTGTCTACGTTTGTGCAGCGCCTTATAGTATTATATAGCCAAATCATATATTATAAATATTAAATTTAAAAAAAAATGTAATTTAACTTAAATTTAAAAATCGGCCAACTTTTAAGACCATACTAAGTAGCAAATTTAAATTATACGATGTAGTTATTTATTAATAGTAGTGAAGTTTATTAATAGTACTACCTCATTAACGGACTACAGATATTGAAAAAAAAATTAATATTTGTACAGCCGACTTCAGTATAAATGATTAAGAATAACTCAAAAACGATTGGTCTGACCTTGGTCAAAAAGTGCCAGCTTTCAAATAAAAAAAGAATCATCGAAATCGGTTCACCCAGTAAAAAGTTATGAGGTAACAAACATAAAAAAAACATACCGTCGAATTGAGTACCGTCTCTTTTACGAAGTTGGCAGAAAATTAAAACCAAATAAAAATATTTGCGACTTACATCATCAGACTGTATGAAGTCCGATTCGTCACTGGGGCTCTCTTTAGGCACAAAACCCATTATACTCATCCGCGTAGCTCGAGACATCACCATCTGATCCTCATCAAGTCCGTCGCTTTCATCGACTTCACTGTTTTCTGTTGCATCAGATTTAGGCTCTTCACTATTTAAATTTTGTTCATCTTGATTGTTTTTAGATTTTTTATTGTTGGATACTTCGCCAGAACCTTCTGGACTGTTGGATTTTTTTCGATCACTACTACAAATTTTAAGGCTTCCTTTGTCACAGTCAAGATGTTCATCATTGGAATTTTGACCACATTCTTTGCTACAATTACTCGTATCAGCCTTTTGGGGAATATTTTCTTCCTCGTCATCAGAGGAATTTTTACTAACATTGCCACCCTCTACTTGGTCATCACTAAAGTCACGACTATTGTGATAACTATCATCAGCCATTTTTGTTTTGTCAGGTGTAGCCGTAGCTAACACTATACTTTTTATCTTAGCAGGTGTATCTTTTAAACATGCGTGTTTCCTATTCTTGTCACGTTCTATGATTATTGAATTCTCTGTATCAGAGTCTGTTAAAATCATGCGTTTCCTGTTTTTCCGACCAATAAAACATAGCGACGATCTTCTGGACGTATTGTTTGGTCGCCGTCGTGGTACGATTTCAGGTGACATTTCTAGTTAGGATATTGTAAATAATATAAAACAGTTATTAATTTTAGATTAAAATTACAAATGGAATGGCAAAGCAAATAATGTTAATATAATGTTAAATAAAAATAATTTTTTTCTTAAATCAACTTGAATTAGTTTCCTTTACTTTAAGTTTATTTCAATAATGAATAAACTTTTACGTGGTATAGCCACGCTGCAGCTGTATTAGTGGTATAGTTGTAGCACGAATGGGTCGGCTCGACCGGCGAAGGACCACACTCTCACAGAGTACCGCCGCTGTGTTTAACTGGAAACGAGGCATTCCATCATAGTCCTCACGGGTGACAATGCATGTGCACTTTAATACGTAATCGAGGATAGATGTAGATGTCTATGGGCCCCAGTAACCACTTACCATCAGGTGGACTGTGTGCCCGTTTGTCACCCATATCCTATAAAAAAACTATTTTACAGATTTATATCACATTTAATTTGACTTTTTTTATATATTTTAATTCCCGACGTTCAAAAACTGAAGGTAACCCGGGTTAACAATGACTTCCACATAAAGCACACATGGTTATGAAAGTCAGGCACAGGGAATTAAAATAAGTAAAAATAAGTCTAATTCCAAGTAAAAATATATTTATAAAATTAGTTTTATTCAGTGTGCAGAATTCTTAAATCAAAAAAATCTTTAGAGTTAATTAAAACTATGATATATGGTGATAAATAACACATTTCAGTAAAATATTTAATATTAATATTCAGCCAATATGAGTAAGACAACTGGAATAAAACAATTATAATATATACATATTATAATTGCACATGGTAATTAGGCTGCAGTTATTTAAGGTTGCAGCACGAATAAGTCGGCTCGACCGGAGAAGGATCACACTTACAGAATCATCATCATCAGCCTGTGGCAGTCCACTCTTGGACATATGCGCTTATATAATACTAGCATAAAATAGCTGCTGTTGCGCATGGTGAGGGGTGATATTGCATCAGCATTTTGATGCTTAATCGAATATAGATATAGATGTCTATGGGCCACAGCATCCACTTACCATTGGGTTGAGTGTGTGCTCATTGCACCCTTATTTTATAAAAAAAGCATTAGATCGGCCCCGGATGAGAATGGATTTCTTTTTAATAAATAAGGTAAGTCCAACTGCGACCGAGAGGCCAATCATCAAATTGAACTCGGCTGAACAGCTTTAGGGGGATTATGACACATCTTCTCGTCACATATACCTCAAAATTTGAATAGTTGTACAACCAGTTTGTATTACCAGTTGACATATGGATCGGATACAAGGCATGATAAGATTGTCATAAAAGATTTTACAATTGACCATACTTTTTTTTTAAACCGAGTAAGTGGCTCCTGCAGCCCAAAGTAAACTGCAGCCAACTTCAAACAAGTAAGGCTACTGATAAGATATTAACAGGCATTTCATCTTAGCCATGGGCTGTAGTGTAGTTAGCCAGTATGTATGTAAGTGTACCGTTACCTTTTGTGTTAATCTAGTATTATAAAAATATAAAACACAAGACAAGCGCCAAGTAAGGACTGTTTTAAAAATTTGATACTTGACTTTTTTTTAAACAAAACGATGTTGGACTTTAAGATTGATGATGATATATTTAGATGTTTTATTATTTGCAATTTCAATATATGTATTTTATTATTATATGTAACATATATATTGTATCTATGTATCATACATATTTTGTTCATACATTTACATACACTATATGTAAAGATTTTGTGCATTATATGTGGTTCAGCGGTGAGATGTGACTTGAAGGAACCATGAAATTATGGTTGTGCGACGTGGTTCAAAAGAACCAAAACAAAATGGCGGGGAAAGCCGCGTGTATACTATAAACAAGACAATAGACCCTTGCGTAAAATTGATTCAATTTGTTGGCTGGCACGAAGGGAAAATGAGCTGCTGAAGAATAAGGAGCAATAAATAAAAAAGCTCTTATGAAAAGAAATGGATAGCACAATACCTTCACAATGGGCGGAGTATCTCGTATTTGCGACTACTGCTGGGCGTGCAATGAATTACGATAATACTTGAACTCTTCCCGATACATTTGTGTGCACGAAGACAAACTTCCATTGATTAAATAACTTTTAAGACTACAATTTTTTCTTACGGTTTATGTCGACAACTATACTGTCAGACAACCGTCCGACATGGTGATCTAATTCACTCTTGGTATGTGCTAGGAAAATGAGATGGGAGATGGAAGTTTTGCCAGCCAAACATCAACTAAGACCCTCTAAAGTCTAAACTAATGATTTACAAAATGTACATGTTTGTACTTACATGTTCAGTTATATGTTAAGGTGTTACAATAAAGATTAAATAAATAAATAACTTACCTTCATCAGAAGAAGTAACAACTACTTTGTTTGAGGTTTCTGACTGATTTTGAACACTGCCTCTTGTACTTTTATCTAAAATAATCAACCATCACACATTATTGTTATTATTCATATTGTTTAAACAGTCCACTGTTGAACATAGGACATGGGATTAAATAAAATAGGGTGATAGAAACTCTTACACTGAAGCTATACTTAAAGGTAAGGAAGGAGGAAGCTAGTGGACTATGCAGATTTTTTTTATAGGAGATTGGGCAAACGAGCATTAGGCTCACCTGATCGTAAGTGATTACCACCGCCCATGAACAACTGCAACACCAGGGGAGTTGCAGATGCGTTGCCGGCTTTTTAAAAGCAGTAGGCTCTTTTCATGAAGGTCCCTAAGTCGTACCAATCCAGAAAAATCGCTGGTGGTAATCGATTCCACAAGGAAGTTGTGTGAGGAAGAAAACATCTTCTAAATCGCACAGTGGTGAACCACCAATCATCCAGATGATATGAATGGTTTTGTGAGTTTTGTCACAAAACCATTCATATCATCTGTTCTTTTGCACTAAAAATGCACAGAAAGTGCTGCTTGATACAACATCAAGTAGTATCAAGCAGCACTTTCTGTGCATTTTTAGCGCAGAATAGTCCCAGGTCTAGTCACATCAGAAGTTTTGAGATTATTATAATTGTAATATTATTGTTATATATGGTAATAAATAACTTATGGCTTTATAACATGAGCTTAATGGAGTGTAGACAGAATGTGAAGGTTAAGGGTTAGAATCCACCATGAACTACTTCTAAACATGCATATATTACGTGGTAGAGCCTTGCTGTAGCTATGTTATGGTTGTAGCATGAATGGGTCGGCTCCACCAGGGCAGGATCAAGCTCACAATACCAATGTAAAATGGCAGCTTAATGCTGCTGTGTTTCTCATGGTGAGTGCAAAGAACCAGAGACCCATTTTACTGTAAACAAGGCATTTCATCTCAGTTCTCAGTCGTGACAAAATCTGTCTCACATGTTTTTATAAAATATTTTTGACTTTGATACGAATATGTTACTTTCCTGTTTCTGTAAACCAAAATCCAAAATAATATGAGACATGTAACAGGTAACTATGTGTTCTAATCACTTGCTTCTGTTTAGGAAAATATTTATAAGGAATATTCACCATCATCACTACTGGATATAAGGGTCGATTCTCCCACACTACTCCTTCTAGTGACCGACACCGACAAAAATCTTCGCTCTTTAGCATCTGCATCGGTATCGTCTACAACAGTAAGGAAAATTTCATTGTATAGTTCATTATTTAACTAACGTCCATAAAAAATGCCTATAAACACAGTACCTTCAGATGTGGATTCCTCAGATTCAGCAATAAATACAGTTTGATTTTTAATGCCAGGTTTCTTTGTAGTCGAAAAAGATTGATCCTCAATCAAACTGTTATCAATTATTTCTGTGTCAGAGTCATCTTCTGCTGCTGTAGCGTCACGATATTCGAAAAATGAACTTTCCATTTTTCTTGCTTTTTATGTAAAGTTATGAAAAATCACAAAATATTTATACATTTAAGTACAAAAACTAAATAAAATCACAAACTATCTATAGAAGTACTTCAAAACAATTCAAAACTTCTATGTCGTTGCCACTTGCCAGTCGTTTTGATAATACAAGTGATGCAGGTAGGAACACTATAGATAAAAAATAACTTCAATCTTCCACCTCTTCGTAAATAAAGTAAAATGTTTGTTTCTTTATTAAATTAGATATATATGGTATATCATTATGAATAAATATAAAAAAAATACAATAAGCATTATACCACAACAAAACATTTAAAATAAAATCACTACGCTTATTGCTTAAAATATATTCATAATTCATAAGCCGCATAATAAATATATATCAAATTGTATATTGAATAATTATGCGCTTTATATATTGAAAGCTGTAAAAGATTTTTTGCCTTCGACCTCCGATTTATAAAAAGAACTCTGTGAATATTTGCCTTCCTTATATATTACTATACTCTTTGATATTTGCAATATCTAAACGCAACGACCTTGTTCTTTTTGTAAACGATGTCATTTTTTAGTTATACACAAAGGGATCTAAGACTATACAGCCTAGTCTGACGTGTATTTTGCTTACTAAATTCTTCACAATATGCAGAAGCGTCACATTGTGAAGGTATTGGAATTGGATATTTTAACAATAGCTTGACCCAGTGGACAGTTGATGACGATAATATCTCAAGGTGGCTAAGTAGATCGAAAACGATTTTTAACACATTCCACACATTATTTGTTTACCTTTATACATAACTTCGACCGAGAGATCAATCGTTGGATTCAACTCGGCTAGGCAACGTTTGGGAGTTTAAGACACATCTTCCCAGGCATGCTTCAAAACCTGAAAACTAGATTGTACAACCAGCGAGTGTTGCCAGTGATGACCAATGGCTCTGAGACGTGGTCTTTAACTGCTGGCCGTATGAGGAAGCTTAAAGTCGCTCAGCGAGCTATGGCGAGGGATATGCTCGCCGTTTCTTTGCGTGATAGACTTGTAAGCTGGAGTGGCAATGGGGCGGCCATATAGCTCGAAGAACCGACAAGCGATGGGGAAGAAATGTTCTCGATTGGCACCCTCGTACCGGCAGGCGAATTGTAGGGCATCCCCCACTAGGAGGAGTGTAGTTCTGGTAAGACATGCAGGAAGTCAATGGATGCAGGTGGCTCGGGACCGTGCCTTGTGGCATTCCTTGAGGGAGGCCTATGTTCAGCAGTGAACTTATGAAAGGCTTTAATGATGATGATGATGATGATACATAACTGTCTGTTTTCTTTTTGCTACAAATGACAGAGATGTTAAGATGTTTATATATAATATTACACTATTTTAGATAAATTTTATTTAGCTTCGCGATACGTATATATAATTTTCACATGTTGTATGACAAAGTTTAGTAAGTGTTATGCACAAACCTTGTAGTACAAAAGCCACCAACACCAAATATATTATTTAGGGTGTCTTGTGTTATCGTTTTCCGCTCCTGGGTCCTGGGTACACGAGCTTATCTTATAATTAAGTATATTCTAGTTTCCTGAATAATTACCAATCCTTTATTTGATTCTTAACATAATTTTTATAAGAATAACCTATATATTATATGTGATCAAATAATAACTGATGTCATCCGTTTATCAGCTTCCAGCAAACCTATCATGAATGATTTTGTGTATAAACAATTATTATCTGTGATCATTCATCAAAAGGAAGGAAAAGGAAAGGCTTTTATTATTTTATTGTAACAAACAAGCCCAAATTTTTATAACAAAACTTTTCAGTAAACTTTCCACAATTAAGGCGAATCTAACAACGCATAAATATTAAAATTCATCAGGCTGCTTAGGCTACAGAGTGTAGCAAGAATGCACTCAAAGAACATTATCCTGCTTCTGGGGCAGTCAGGTAATAATTGTTTATATTAACTTAGTTGTATAAAAATGGTGCTCTGAATAAAATTGAATCTATGGGGGCAAATAGAACAATATCTGGTAGCCCAGGTAAAGTAATTAACTGTCTATCTCGATCTCAAAAGCACACGTGAATACTTTATCTATAGTCAGTCCTCCATCAATGGGACTACCATAAAAGTCCTTGGGACCACCGCAGTTCCTCATATAAAAAGTACTCTGTGCACCACAGACAATCTATAAAACATAGATCACATCCACAAACTAGTAAGAAGTGCATCACATCCAACATAGGCCTCCCCCATTAGAGAAGAGGAAGTTACCTGTGATTTTATATTACGGATAATTACGGTTTAATAATTATATTACGAATCGTACAATAGGTGGAGATTGCCAGTTATTGGAGGGCTAAATGTTCAGCAGTATATTTTATCGTAAGCTGGTATAATGATAATAATGTAGGTACTTCTTGTTAAGTTTTATGGGCGCCATTTTTTGTTGTTCTAATTAAGATTGTAGGTTATTACTTTTTTCTTTGTACCTTAATATTGTATACACTTTTGATTTTCACTCGCTCGTCATGCATACAGCAAATGAGTGGAATAATTAACCAGCATCTGTCTTTTCATCCGATTTACTATATGGATGTCTTCTGGGCAAAAAGTAATAGGTTATTGTTAAGCTAACTCAATACGCTTTATCATCTTTGAATGGATTAAAAAAAATACAATTAAAATTTTTAGTTTTTATTACACAATCTTAAGGTTACAATTTATTAGAGGGTAGTTAGAGAATTTGCTCAGGCGTAGTAGCTGAGGTTAGCCTTCTTCTTGGCCTGCACCTCAAGGATAGCGTCCATGAAGTCCTCGTGCGTGACAGAAGACGCAGAGCGGCGCAACGCTATCATACCGGCCTCCACGCACACCGCCTTACACTGTGCACCGTTGAAGTCGTCCGTTGACCGAGACAACTCCTCGAAGTTCACGTCCGGGCTCACATTCATTTTCCTTTAACACATGATTCCGTTTAGTAAGTGCTGACTGGTTCTTACTGGCGTACATTGCACTCAAATGCAGAGATAAAATATATTGAAGCATCACATAGTTACAGTCTATTGTACAGTGCGTATGAAGCTCAAGGTCGCTCAGCGAGCTATGGAGAGGGCTATGCTCGGGATTTCTCTGCGTGATAAACTTAGAAATGAGGATATCTGCAGTCGAACCAGAGTAACCGACATAGTCCAATAGATTAGTAAGCTGAAGTGATTGCTACTTATATGAGCCGACCATGTAGTTCGAAGAACCGACAGCCAACAAATTATTGCACCCCGGGAACACTAGTTACAACCTATTAAAGTCCACTGCTGAATATAGGCTTTCCGCCCAGAGTGCCTCATAGGGGATAGGGGATACTTGCCGTAATTGCCGCCACGCTTGGCAAGCGGGTTGGCAACCGCAGTTTTTTATTTTGGTCGTAATTAGAAAGACGCTGCTGCCTATGTCCTGATTTGTTTTCCTCTGTCGCCTCTTACGGAACATGAGCTGGCTATTCATTTCATTTAAAACTGACTAGCCAGGAATAGTGGGGCCGCCAGGAACTTGGGGCCTTTTGTTAGTGTCGTTGGTCATGGTATATACCCCATATTGCTCAATATACCCCATATTGCCATAGTTGCCACGCTTGGCGAGCGGGTTGGCAACCGCAGTTTTTTTATTGCTTTTTGTTATCAGAAAGCTGCCCATCTCCTTTTTTTTTATAGGATAAGGTTGACAAACGAGCACACAGTCCACCTGATGGTAAGTGGTCGCTGTGGCCCATAGACATCTACATCTATTTTCGATTAAGAGTCAAAATGCAGATGCGTTGTCACCCGTGAGGACTAAGATTGAATGCCTCGTTTCCAGTAAAAAGGGTCTCCAGTTCTCTACACTCACCATACGAAACACAGCAGCGTTAAGCTGCTATTTTGCGCTGGTTTTCTGTGAGAGCGTGGTCCTTCCCCGGTCGAGCCGACCCATTCGTACTACAACAATAATATAGATGCAGCATGGCTCTACCACGTAAAAAATTCTCCTGCCTCAGTTTCCCTCTGTCGCCTTTTACGACACCCACGGGATGATATGGGGTAGTGAGTATTATTACACGCCACTACACGGCATTTAAAACTGAGTGGTTTTTATGAATTTAAAAATATGTATATCTATACGTGGTAGAGCCATGCTGTAGCTATATTAGGGTTGTAGCACGAATGGGTCGGCTCGACCGGGGAAGGACCACGCTCTCACAGAAAACCAGCGCAAAATAGCAGCTTAACGCTGCTGTGTTTCGTATGCTGAGTGTAGAGAACCGGAGACCCTTTTTACTGGAAACGAGGCATTCCATCTTAGTCCTCACGGGTGAGAACGCATCTGCATTTTGATTCGTAATCGAGGATAGATGTAAATGTCTATGGGCCACAGCAACCACTTACCATCAGGTGGACTGTGTGCTCGTTTGTCACCCTCATCCTATAAAAAAAAAATGTAATATAGAAGGAGCTTAAAATGGATTGTATAAATTCTTCTTTTCTTTAATTTTGACGGCTCCGGGGTGCAGTGGCTTAGAAATGAATAACGGCGCTGAGGGCCACTGGTTCGAATTCAGCACGGAACAAGTGGTACAACAAGTAGTAGGCCATACAAATATTTATTGCGGGGCCTAGCTGTGTCCTTGTGAAATGTATGTATGTACACTGTCTCCTGATACAGAGAAAATCCTGGTGCGAGGGTAACTTTATATAAAAAAAATTCTATATAATCACTTATCTTGGAAAGTATCAATTTACTGTAAGCAATATATTTTATTTCCATACATCATTAAATAAATAAAAATAATACAAATGTACACTTATTATAACATACTATATAAAACATAAGAGTTGCATGATTTCTTATAATATTTTCTAACAATTGTATTTTTTTTTTACAGAATAAGGGTAACAAACGAGCACACAGTCCACCTGATAGTAAGTGGTTGCTGTGACCCATAGACATCTACATCTATCCTCGTTTGCGAATTAAAATGCAGATGCGTTGTCAGCCGTGAGGACTAAGATAGAATGACTCTTTTACAGTAAAATGGGTCTCCGGTTCTCTACACTCACACCATACGAAACACAGCAGCATTAAGCTGCTATTTTACGCTGGTATTCTGTAAGAGCGTGGTCCTTCCCCGGTCGAGCCGACCCATTTGTGCTACAACTATACTATTAATATAGCTGCAGCATGGCTCTACCATCTAAACTTATATCTCCACAGCACCATGTAGTGTCGGTGTAATAATATTTCATATCGGAAAATGAAACAAGAGATGGGCTGCAACATCTTCTAGATAACAGATAATAACTAAAAATACTTCATATAAAACTACAGTTGTCAGTCTGCTTGTCAATCGTGGCAACTATGCCAAATATCCCCGCTATGATGTAATCGATGGGGGAGCCCTGTGTTTGTTTTGCATACAACCAATATTGATGATTAATTACATTAAAAGTAATATTGACTCCATTACATACATCATGCATAAATGATTATGCTGTGATAGTATAGTCACTCACCGTGAATGAATCTGCATAATTCTCGCCCTTGCCTCTTCATTGGGATGCGGGAACTCAATCTTCCTATCCAGGCGACCGGATCTAAGAAGGGCGGGATCTAAGATGTCCACTCTGTTTGTAGCTGCTATCACCTGCATTAAAAAACGTAACGTTTAATATTTGAAGGTCACTAAAAACAGCCAGTGTTGCATAGCTCTTTGCGAGAATTTAAACAGCCAAATACAGTAAGTAATGAAGGACTCAGTTCCTTATCATCAGAGGCAACATTTTTTTAGAAGGGGGGTATACGAGCATGCGGCTCATCTAATGTTAAGTCGGTGTCGACCGCCGCCCATGAATAAATCAGGGGAATTGCAGGTGCGTTGCAGGCCTTTTAAAAAGGTGTAAGCTCGTTTCTTGAAGGTTCCTAAGTCGTATCGGTCGGGAAAAATCGCTGGTAGTAAACAATATACTGTGAGACATATTATACTAATTAAGTAAACTAATACTTAGAAAAGGAATATTATAACATTAATCAATTTATGTACCTTAATATCAGCAGTAGAACTGAATCCATCCAGCTGATTGAGGAGCTCCAACATAGTACGCTGCACCTCACGATCTCCTGCTTTCTCAGAGTCGAAACGCTTAGTACCAATGGCGTCAAGCTCGTCTATGAAAATAATGGCAGGTGCTTTTTCTTTAGCGAGGGCGAAGGCGTCACGAACTAATTTTGCACCATCACCTGGAATATATTAAAGTACAAAATTTAATAGAAATTCCTATGTTTTTTTGATATAAGAAGGAGCAAACGAGCATACGGTTCACTTGATGGTAAGTAATTACCCCCACCTATGAACAACTGCAACATCAGGTGAGTTACAGGTGCTTTGGCACGAATCTTTATAAAAGAACACCAATTCCTACCAAGGATGATTTGCGAGACTTTTAAACTTAAAAAACATTCAAATTTCAATAGGGAAGATGACTGGGATGAGCTACCATCTGCTTGGGATCCCATAATTAATAAAATTAAATCCAAACCTAAGCATACAACTGCAAGACTTCAATATTACTGGAAGCTCGTTTTGCGTAGATATAACCAAAAATTAATAAAATCTTAAGTTTAAAGCTCTTCAAAACTAATACTATTTTGAAGAGCTCTAATAGTTATTGAATAAAAACTTTTACATAGGATTTTTGTATATGTGACTAACAAGCACACAGTCTGCCTGATGCTAGTTGGATGCTGTAGCCCATAGAGATGTCTATGGGCCACAGCATCCTCAATTAAGAATTAAAAGGATTTTTGGTTATCTACACTCACCATACGAAACACAGCAGCATAAATCTCCTATATTATGCTGATATTCTGTGAGTTGAGCTGATTCATTTGTGCATGATAATATAGCTGTAGCAAGGCTCTACCGTGTATAAAATTTCTGAAAATCTTTAAAAAATCTTATTCTTAAATGAGTTAAAGAAAAAGTGTCTCATCATACATACCAATAAACATCTGCACTAACTGTGGACCCGCAAGCTTAAGGAAGGTTGACTTAGTCTGGGCAGCACAAGCACGAGCCAACAAAGTCTTGCCAGTTCCAGGAGGACCATACAGAAGTACTCCCTTGGGTGGATGTATGCCCAGATTGACAAATTTCTCTTTATGTGTCATTGGCAATACAACAGCTTCAATCAATTCCTAAAACAAATTAAAGGTTTCTAAATTAGTGTAAAGAACTAGGGCCAAACACATAAGACCTTACTCATAAAAATCAAAATCAATTTAAGAAGTGTTTAAACTTTCTCTCTTTTCAATAAATAATAATAGATAAAGACAGATGTAGAGATAATTAATACTTTAATTAAGTGATAGTCAATGATTATGAATAAGACCCAAAACTTTTTGAAGTTCAATGTATGCTATTCCATTTTCAATATATAACACAGTTTTAATTCTAGGGATTAAAATGAAATTTCATGTGTTAAGATATTTCATTATAGTTTCAACCCGATACTAATTATAAACTGTGATCACTATTAACTGTAAACTTTTAGAATCTTTTTGTCATAGGATGGAATACATAGGCTGCACTAAAAGTATCGGGAATGGAATATTTCCACTGTTCCTGTCATATTAAAATCTTTTTAATTGAAAACCCCTTGGTTTTAAAAATCGTATACCATTTATTTATTTAAAAAAAGATTCTCGGTCTTGTCACAAGGTTTTGTCAAACTTGTTTAGTTGTTGAGAAAATGGAATTGACTTGAGAAATTTCAAGAGCGATGATTTATTATGACTTTCGAAGTGGTTTAACACAAAAACAGTGTGTTGACTGGATGATTTCTGCATTTGGTGATGAAGCCCCATCCAAAACCACAATTTATCGCCGGTTTGCTGAATTTCAACGTGGACGTGTCAAGCTCAGTGATGATTCCCGTCAAGGTCGTCCAAAAACTGCAGTCACCCAAGAAAACGTTGATGCTGTGCGTAAGCTGATTGAGGAAGATCGACATGTGACATACCGCGGAATTCAGGCAACTTTAGACATTGGCATGAGTCAAATACAAATAATCTTGCAAGAACTATTAGGTGTAAAAAAGTTGTTTTCCCGATGGATACCACATTCGCTCTGTGAAGAGCAAAAAGCGGCTCGCGTTACTTGGTGCGTCAGAACTCTCGAAAGATTCCACACAGGATCCTCAAATGCTGTATATAACATCATATCAGGTGACGAATCCTGAATAATACGCGTACGAACCCGAAACAAAAAAACAAGTCACGAGTTTGGGTGTCCGAAAATGAGTTAAAGCCAACAAAAATTGTTCGTTCACGGAGTGTTGCAAAAAAAATGGCGGTCACGTTTGTCTCCAAAACCGGCCATGTTACAACTATTCCTCTTGAGGGACAAAGAACGGTAATGCAGAATGGTATGCTAGCATTTGTATGCCACAGGTCGTTTCTGAACTCCGTAAAGAGAACTGCAACCGCCGCATCATCCTCCATCACGACAACGCGAGTTCTCACACCGCACTCAGAACAAGTTTTTAGAGCAAGAAAACATAGAATTATTAGACCATCCACCATACAGCCCCAACCTAAGCCCTAATGATTTCTATACTTTCCCTAAAATAAAGAATAAATTGCGTGGACAGAGATTTTCATCACCTGAAGAAGCTGTGGACGCCTACAAAACGGCCATTTTGGAGACCCCAACTTCCGAATGGAATGGTTGCTTCAATGACTGGTTCCATCGTATGGAAAAATGTGTCAAATTTCGCAGAGAATACTTCGAAAAGCAATAAATACATTTTTAAATAGTAATCTTGTGTCACTTCCTTGATTCCCGAAATTTTCAGTGCCACCCTTGTATGTCTAGCTAAAAGTGAAACCAACCAAGAAAGCTAAAGAGTGTTCATGTCATTTATACATTTCAAGTGACACTGAAACCATGCTTGATGTTTTTTAAGAATATGACTTTATAATTCATAATTCATTTATTGCATGTCACAAAGTATAAAGTTGTTACAATATATCTACAGAGCATGTAACCGGGCATAGCATATTAAGTTTTGTAGAGTATGTTGAGTTTTGTCTATATTTCTTTATTGGTCCGAGTTTCCTATTTAAGTTACATACACATACTCATAAATCTTAATAATATCTTTTACAGTAGTTAACCAGCAATGGTGTTTGTTCTGAAAAGTTATCTCATAGTCAATATAAGAAACTATAGTCGAAAAATTTAGAATATAAGATCAGACAAACAGGGAACAATAGATGGAGAGCTGACCACATTTCAAGTGACCCTCAAATCATGATTAACTATTTGACAACCACTCACACACATACTTTTATTTTTTTTTTAAAACAGACTAAAAGTTTACTGCTGGATGCACACACATGCAACTTGTTTAAGGTGCATATGTGTGGCATATGTGCAACAACTTATAAGCATATGTGCATTTTTTTTATAGGATAAGGGTGACAAACGAGCACACAGTCCACCTGATGGTAAGTGGTTGCTGTGGCCCATAGACATCTACATCTATCCTCTATTACAAATCAAAATGTAGATGCGTTGTCACCCATGAGGACTAAGATGGAATGCCTCATTTCCAGTAAAAAGGGCCTCCGGTAACCTGCACACTAAGCAAAACACAGAGGTAAACCTCTACTTCACGCTGGTTTTCTGTGAGGTCGTGGTACCATCCCGGTTCGAGCCGGCCCATCCGTGCGACAGCAAAAGCTGCCATGTGGCTCTACCACTGTTAAATTATGTGCATATTCTTATAAGTTGAGCATGGTTTTAGCTTGCTTTTGTACTCACTTATAATTTATTAAAAATTAAAAATTTTGTACTGTCGACTTCAATATAAATTATTAAGAATAACTCAAAAACCATTGGTCTGACCTTGATCAAATTCATACGGTACCACATGTGAAGTACCAGTTTTCAAATAAAAAAAGAATCATCGAAATCGGTTCACCCAGTACAAAGTTATCAGGTAACACACACATAAAAAAAAAACAATCGAATTGAGTACAGTCTCCTTTTTTGAAGTCGGCAGAAAAGTATATTAACATAAAATACTGACCTGGATTTGCTTGTCCAGACCTCCAATATCTGAATACTGTTCTGTTGGTCTTTCATCTACCTCCATGGCTTTAACTCGGGCATCATACTCAGCTGGTAGTGTCTCCAAAATCAAATAAGAATCTTTGTTTACACCGACTAAGTCACCCGGTTTAAGTTTTTCAGCGTCAACCAAACCAATGACTGGTAGAAAATATGTTTGACGTGTGGATGTTTTGATGACCGCACATTTACCTTTTCTCTGCGAATCTAAATCGACTACAGCGCCGTCTTCTTCTTCTTCTTGTGGGTCAACATCCAGGAGTTCGATAACATTTGATACCAAATACGGTAGAGTTTTATTCACCTTAATCTTCTCAGTGTTTTCTTTAATTTTATCGTTTTGTGCTTGTAATTCGTGAGTGATCCTCATGACTTCACTTTTCATAATCTTTATTTCATTGTCGAGTAGCCTCGTACGGCTAATAATTTCGTCTGTTGGCATGCGAAGTACCTCCTCGCTTAGAGCTTCTTCACCATCCTCCCAAATCGATTTATCTTCAAGCGTTGTGGCCATTGTAATTATTGGTATTAAATATTGGCTGCTGAAGGAAGCAGATTTACAATGGTCACTGGTAATCTACAGTATTTTGTGAATTTGTGATTCTGACAATGAATGACATTATAGCAAAAATTAATTGTCATTCCGGTAATTATACTTTTTTAACAGGCTTTACGGCTCTGGGTTCTAGCGCTTCTCAGCCTGGGTAACTATACTTTATACTCTTTGACCGAGAGTATAAATGTATGTATAAATAAATCAGGGTTTTGGCGGGAACTTGCTGGCGGCGGATTACTGCTCCAGTATTATTGTTTAAATAATAGTTTGAAGTGGATTTCTTATGTAAAAGTGGTGCAGTTTTGTGTATTAAGTGTCTGCGCATTTAAATCATTAGTGGAAACGGTGAAACAATTGCTCTGATGGTGATGTGATTCTCAAAATAAGGTGTCTGTCTGCTTAGGTGCCTTGAGATATCATCGCCGACTGTCAGCTATCTGCTGGCTTAAGTTGTCGTCAAAATTACCCAAGAGCTGCACAGTGGGACGCATCAACATATTGTGAAGCAGTATACTATAAAGATAATTATTATACATTATAACTTCAGGCTCAGAAGGGCTAGAACCCAGAGCCGTAAAGCTAGTTTTATAAAAAAAACAATTTGCCATCTGACAACTAGGGGTGTCCACTTTGAAAATACATCGATGTTTTTTTTCGATGTGATGCATCGGTTAGAAACATCGATGTTTTTGCAACATCGAGTACTTTTTATGACTTTACATTATAAATCTGTAGTCAACTTCCTGACATCCCCATTCAAACAATCGACAATTTTGAATGATCTACTCTTACATTGGCACTGTCTTTGTCCGCACGCGTTGTGTGTGTGTTTGTGTGTGAGTGTGTGTATGTGAGTATTCAAGGATGTAAGACAGTTAGATAGATATTCTTAATTGCTCGAAACACAAAGTATCTTAATCTTAAGAATATAATTATTAACAGACGAATATATTCATAGTTATTTATATTTATATATTTATTGTTTTTTTTTTACTTTTATGCACAAAAGAAAAACGTATATATGGCGGACTCAATGCCTTAAGGCATTCTCTACCAGTCAATTATATATACTATTTATATTTGTATTTATTTATTTAATATATTAGTAAAATTTATATATATCTTACTTATTAACTTTTTATTTTGTTTTTATTATATTCTACTACACCCTTTCAGTTCGCCCTTTGTATTATTTTATATTAAGGAAGGCAATAAAGAATAAATAAATTATTATTTATGATCATTAATCATTGTATCTACTACTAAATAGACGACGGCTCTAGAACAAAATTCACGAAAAATGTTTCCCGAGTCAACCTATAAAAACGTATTATTTATATATATATATGTATGTATAATCTTACTTGCGACAATTTAGCAGCCTTTCAACTACAACCAGAAGCTGTTTCTAGCGAAAATTATCGGTTTGATTTTTTGTTTTTACAATTAATGTGAATTTAATTAAAATACTACGTATGTTGTATCTAAGCAAAATATTACTTTTAAATTATTAAAATAGTCCTTATCGAAAATATATATAAATATAAATAGTTTTGCTCGTTTTGTGATACAGTAACTTTGGAGTGTATTATCAATTGACAAAACGAAAACTGGCGCGCAATTGCAACTCTTTTTGCATTTTGGAACTCCTTTGACTCGGACACTTGAGTGCAGATCCGAGGTCCATTTAGTAGTAGGTCAAAGTTTACGATATTATTTTAAATGATTTTAATAGAAAAAAAGCATGCATCACAATAAAAATACTTACATATGGAATATAACTCCATCTTTTGTAAATTTTAAGTATTTTGACTGCTTTATGATCGCACCGATCGGTATTTTTTAAAGAGCACATACTTCGGCGGAAACGATTCTTGTAATAATAAAATCGATTTCGTAAGCAGTTTTTATAAACGCACGAGCTTTTAAATCCAATACCTTGGCAGAGTGAAATAATTATGCGAGATGAGTCTGAGGTTAAATGGTCTTAAGGCGGCTATCACTTGCCTGCCGCAGGGGCAATCTAGGGTGTAGGAGTGGGGATGACCCTTAATTGCCTCCTTAATTGTGATATGTGTGTGCAAGCAGGAGTAATTTTCTAAGTCGGCCCTGCGGCAGAGCGACATGGGCGCAAGACCTTCCTTGCTCCCTAGATCATAGCTACCACGCCACATGTGTAACGCAAATGGGGCAATTTCAAATAGTTCGTAAGCGACTTTCGCATGCAGCACACGTCATAATGGATACCAATAAAACATATGAAATTTGAACACTGGTGATAGAAGTGTGAGGCGGATTCTTCACCCAGTATCTCCTTTTAGTCTTTTTTTTGCAGTAGCACCGCAGAAAGAACGTTATCTAAACGTCGTAACGTTTTTAAACGTGGTAGAGTCATGCAGCTTTTAAAGACTGTGTTATGGGTGTAATTATTAATTAATTAGTTGTTTTATCAATAAATATGGGTGTCTATGAGCCACAGTATCCACTTAACGTCAGGTGGACTGTGCTCATTTGTCATCCTTATTCTATATAAAAAGAGCCAAGGCTATATTTACCGATTCATTTATATTTTGATAAAACTAGCGCCATTCTCAACGCGTGTGTCCAGCGAGACGTACACTCTCACATAGAATGGCAGGCATGTGTGTAGAGACAGTTCTGATATTGTTCCGATCGCTGTTCGTCCTAGATTGGCCTATGGCACGAAAGTGAGAAGCCGCCTTAAGACCGAGACAGACCAGACGATTTTCTTTAGATTTTCTTTAATACACAATCAGCCAATCTCAATTTCTTGATTCCGCGAAGGGACTGACAACCGCCAACTAGCGCCACCAACAGGTTTAGATATTATAACTTCTAAATCAGAGCATGTTTTAGTTTTTCTGATTTAGAAGTTATAATATTAACAGTGATAGATAAGTATACCTGTTTACAATTGACTAGTTATCATTGATTCGATGTTTTATGAAAATACATCGATACATCGAGTATATCAATAGCTTTCCAAAACATCGGATCGATTCGATGCATCGTATTGTAAACATCGAGTGAATTCGATGCATCGATGTATATCGAATATCCCTACTGACAACTGACACTGACATAATGACATTTGGATTCAGCTTCTACTGTTTCCAAGTGGCTGAATTTTGCTATTATATTATTTTCACGAATTACGATATTATAGTTGGTTAACACTATATATATTTGTTTAGATAAATTAATTCACACAATGGCCTTATCAATGTTTCTCCGTGCTCCAGGTATTTCAGATAAAAAATAAAAACAATTATTACATAACATTAGTTTTTACTTTTTATGAACTAGTTGGCATCTTAATTTTTAAATAACATTAAAAACCATTTAATAGACACATTTTTATATTTTAATTTTAATTCTATTTTCCATTTGTATGTAAAAATTTATATTTTTATTAAATATAGTATTTAAAATTTTATAATATAAAACCAATATTTGAATACTCTAAATTTGTATTTTAATTTTTGAATTGACTTTTTTCTATGTGAATAAATCAATTAATTTGTACAATAAATTAATTCTTTTATACTTTAAATAACTTTCAGTTTGCACAAACCAGGCATTCACAAAACATATTATGCGTCTTGCTACATATACAGCAGCAACCAACTCTCCCTTGGTAGTTCGTGCAATCCCAAACACGGTGCAGCTTAAAAGTGTTACAGCAAAGGCTGAAACTATGCCAATAACCAGCTCAGTAAGTGTCTTTCATAATTTAATTTATTCCTTTTAATTTTTATGAAGTTTGAAAGTAATCCCTTAAAAATGATTCCTTTACTGTATAAGAATGTTTTCTCTCATTATTCAGGGTGATAAAATATAAATAGTTTCTTGCAATACTTGGTGTGTCATGTTAAATGTCTTCTAAATATTTATTTTAAATTCTTTATTATTTTGATTTTTCTCTAGATGTTTTACCATCAAGTAAGTAGTATATATCAGTAAAACTCTCCTTGCTAACTTTAGAAATAAATTATTATTATTATCCCTGTTAAAATTACAGACTATATAAGTCCCACTGCTGGGCACAGGCCCCCTCTCATTTTTGAGAGGGCTTAGGTCAAAGAAGTGTCTGCCACACTGCCCCAATGGGTGTTGGTGAACTTAACATGTCTTCGAAATCCTATTTTTTTTTTCTTATTTCCAGACATACAGATTTCCTCACAATGTTTTTCTTCACCGCCGAGCGTTTGGTAAATCAGCACTTAAAATAGCAATAAACAATTTCAGTGGGGATTGAACCTGGGTCCGTCCGTTGAATTCTACATGAACACAGGACAGTAAAGATAATTGATGTTGTCTATAGGACAAATGTAACAAGGAAATGTAGCATAATTAATATTGGAATCTTTTTTGAGCAGAATGCAATTTTGATATCTTATATTTATGCGAACACTACACATTTTTAAATAAAACTAATTTTACGGATTTTATCGCGTATATTAACTTATTTTTATATTCCCGACGTTTCGGGTGCTTTCCAACACTCGTGGTCACGGGGGACTGAGGTGTTTGACCTCCTGCTGTCATAGTTAGCCATATTTTTAGTTTGATTTACGCAGAATGAGCTTACAGTATCTAGAAGTCTAGCAGTGGTATACTTGGGTTTGGATTTGATTTTATTAATTATGGGATCCCAAGTAGATGGCAGCACCCATCCATCTTCTCTATTGAAATTAGGATGTTTTTTAATTTCAATAGCCTCGCGAATCATCCTTGGGAGGAATCGGTGTTCTTTTGCGAGGATTTGTGGTCGATCAAATTTAATGTAATGGCGGGGACGATCTTGAACATGTTCACAAACTGCAGACTTCCCGATACGTCGGTGCTTCACGTCAGCTATATGTTCTTTAACGCGGGTTTTAATAGATCTTTTTGTTTGTCGCATGTACGAGAGACCACATTCACAATCCAGCTTGTACACTCCTGCATCTTGTAGAGGGATATGACACTTGACGGATGGTAAAAATTGACCAATCTTCTTCAGCGGCTTGAAGTATGTTTTAATGGAAGCTCGCTTCAAGATGTAGCCAACCTTGTCTGTGACTCCTCGGACATAGGGTAATACAGCAGGCACACGCTCGACTGTGGCTGGCTTCACTCAGTTACTGTGACGTAGGCGCGGGACCCGAAGCTTGTTGTCTTGCAGTACTTGCTCGACGTGCTGAAGCTCGGCGGCCAGATGTTTTCTGTCACAGATCCCTTGTGCTCTCTGAAACAAAGATTTTCCCACGGTAGCTAACTGTGAAGGATGATGGTGAGATTCAACATTTAAATATCGGTTGGTATGGGTATTTTTTCTGTACACAGTATGACCAATAGTGTTATCAGGATTTCGAATGACTAAAACATCTAGGAAAGCTAAAGTATTGTTTGCCTCTAACTCCATTGTGAATTGTATTTTAGGGTATATGGAAACGTCGGGAATATAAAAATAAGTTAATATACTCGATAAAATCCGTAAAATTAGTTTTATTTAAAAAAAAAGAATGCAATTTTTTAAAATTATTTAAATTATCTAATTATTTTACTCACGGTTATTTTTGCATTTTTGTCAACCAAATTCATAAAAACGAAGAGGTTCTCAATGTGACTGTATTTTTTTATGGTTTTTTTCATTTGAAAGCTGATTTTGATGATTTGGTTGATTACGACCTGGCGACATATAACGACATATAAAGCACCCTGAGGACTAAAGAGAAGATCCTGTAGCTGGAAGATGACAGGACAGGATATAGACAATTGTTGGAATATTATAGGATTAGGAGGTCCGAAGAGAGGAGGAGGACACGGTAATCCTTGAATCCGGCAACTTGTTCTATCACCGGGAGGGCGACCATCTGTCCCAAGCAGGTGTTGAATTTATCATCCACAAGTCTCTCATTAACAATGTTGTAAAGATTGGGAATATGTCGACGAGGGTGGCGTACCTTATACTCAGAATTACCAAACGGTATTTGCTGAAGGTCATACAGGTTTACGCACCAACCTTGGCACATCCCAATGAGGAGGTGGAGGAAATGTATGAGGGTATAGCCATCCAAAACCCAGTATATGGTGTTAATGGGAAATTTCAACGCAAAACTGGACATAAGAGAGAACGGCGAGCTGAGGGTAAGGAAGTTTGGAATGGGCAACGGAACCCAAGCGGCCAGCAGCTTGCTGACTTCATGGAGAAAGAGGGACTCTTTATGATAAACTCTTTCTTCCAGAAGCGGCCCCGCAGGAAGTGTACCCAAATGGTTCGACAAAAAATGAGATTGACTTCATTATGACGACTAGATAGCAACTGTTCAGTGATGTCTCAGTGATCGCGAGAGTGAAAACTGGCAGCGATCAACGAAGGGATAGAGGCCCACTGAACCTAAACGTTAAGTTGGAAAGGTTCCGTCTAATGAAGTTAACACTCCATCCCCGTCGTTCTCTAAACTAAAATCTCGAAACTTTACAGCTCGAGTTACAAAACCGTCTTCAGTGCCTTTAAGACAGCAATGAAGTGGACGATATCAATGACAAGCTCGTGGAAACTGTCCTTGCGGTCGGAGCTAAGTTTCGCAAGACCCGCCGCAGGAGAACACAAAAACTCTTCGATCACACTCTTAATCTCATGGCTGTTAGACGGGAAATGAAGCGGCAGTCTTCAGCAGATTTGACAGTATACAGGCAACTGAACAGGCAGATCTCCAAATGCATGCGGCGGGACTCACGCAATTTCAATACAGCTTGAAGTAGCGATCGAGCGGAACCATGGCTCCAAAGTCTTTGCCAGGGATCTGTCTGCCAGAAAGAGCCAACTGTGGAAGCTGAAGACCGAGTGTGTCAGCATCGTTTCTGGAATACCTGCGATTTTGAGTGAGATTGAGAGGTTTTATGGGCAGCTGTACTCATCATCGTTGGAGCCACACACAAGTGTAAGTAATGATCCAAGAGTAGGTCTTGTCCGAAACTATTCCGATGAAATATCACCGGAATACCGGAGGTTAGTTTGACCGAGATAGAATGGCTCTCCAGCACCTTAAAAACGGCAAGTCCCCAGGCAAAGATGGAATTACAGCGGAGCTTTTGAAGGCGGGCGGAAAACCGGTACTTGAAGTCCTTCAGAAGCTCTTTAATTCCGCCCTCTTTGGTGGCACTACACCGGAGGTGTGTAGCAGGAGTGCGGTGGTCTTGTTCTTCAAGAAAGGCGATAACGCTTTCTTGAATACAGACCGATTTCCCTTATGAGCCGCGTCTACGTGCTGTTTTCGAGAGTCATTACGAATCGTCTTGCACGCAGACTCGACGACTTCCAGCCTCCCGAACAAGCCGGTTTCCAAAAAGGTTTTAGTACCATAGCATAGACCACACTTACCATATACACACCCTTCAGAAAATTGTACAGAAGACAGTAGAGTACAATCTGCCACTTTGCCTTGCTTATGTGAACTATGAGAAAGACTTTGATTCCGTCGAAATTTGGGCGGTGCTACGGTCCCTTCAGCGGTGCCAAGTTGACTGTCGGTATATCGAAGTGCTGAAGTACTTGTACAGTAGGGCTACGATGGCTATTGGAGTACAGAACCAGAGTGCGAAACCTATCCAAGTGAAAAGGGGTGTAAGACAAGGTGGTGTTATATCCAAGAAACTTCACCACTGCATTGAAAGATGTTTTCAAGCTACGCGACTGGAAAGTATATGGTATTATCATCAATGGCGAGTACATCACTCACCTTCGATTTGCCGACGATAAATATATATATAGTGTTATGGCAGAATCGTTCGACTTACTAGTCGAAACTTCGACCGAGAGGACAAGCTACGGATTCGACTGGACTGGGCAGGGTTCGGAAAATTACGACACATCTTCTCGTTAGGTATACCTCAAAACTTGAAAACGAGACTATAACCGGTGCGTGTTGCCAGTGATTGCGGAAATGAGAGTGATGACGGAACTTAGACATGGTCCTCCTTCACTATTGGCCGTATGAGGACACTCAAGGTCGCTCATCGAAATATGGGGGGGGGGCTGTGCTTGGGGTTACTCTGTTGTGATAAACTTGGAAATTAGGATATCTGCAGTATTACCAGAGTGACCGACATACCCCAATGAATTAGTAAGCTGAAGTGGCAATGGGCTGGCCATATAGCTCGAAGAACCGACAACCGATGGGGAAGAAAGGTTCTTGAGTGGCAGCCTCGTACCAGTAGGCGAAGTGTAGGGCGACCACCAACTGGTACCAACCACCAACCACCAACTGGGACGATCTGGTAAGACATGCAGGAAGTCTCAGGACCGTGGTTTATAGCATTCCTTGGGGGAGGCCTATGGTCAGCAATGGACTTGTGAAGGGCTGTAATGATGATGATGATGATGAAGTCAGTTGTATACAATTTTTAATTTTACCACTTATACAACAAGTAACATAAACCCTGTGGTTCCCGTTAAGTACGTTATCAGGATCAGTATTCAAACCTATAGAAATAACTTTAAAAACTCGACCATATTTTTTTAATTTTATTAAAAAAAAATTAAAATTTTATGGGGTATTATAACCTCTTACTGTCACTAGCCGATGCTAAAGCTAAGTAAAGCGGGGTCTTTGACAATCCTCTTACTCCCCAGACAATGCAGAGGTAATAAAACCACATACAATTTTCATAGAATTATATTTTTTAAATAAAATGAAAAAAAAAAAATGATTGTTCAAGTTTAAAAAAAAAGTTATTTCTATAGGTTTGAATACTGATCCTGATAACGTACTTAACGGAAACCACAGGGTTTTTGTTACATATTGTATTATAACAGTTAATCTTCTAATTTAAATGCAGCCGTTTAGTGGCGACGCACGAGAATTCATTACCCGATATCGTCTCACGAGTGTAGTAAAAGGCGTCAGAGCGATATGAAACAGGAGATGGGCAGCAGCATCTTCCCGGTAACAACTCACCAACCCATCTATAAAGCAAGGCGACTATGACAATGTCTCCTCTATGAGGTAATTTATGGGGGGAGGCCTTACCAGTGGACTTTGTTATGATGAATGCATGAATGAAATCTTCTACTTTGCAGGTGAGGTCGTTCCGGACGTCAGCAGTTCGCATGTCGGATGAGAAGCCACACGACCACGCCAAGCTGTGGGTGATAGAGAAGGCAACCAGTGCACTTCTTGTTCCACTTATCCCCCTTGGGCTGCTAATGCCCAACAAGATCATTGATTCAGTGCTTGCTATACTTATCACGGCTCATAGTTTTTGGTGAGTTTTTTTTTTAAATATAAGACTGCATGTCACTATAACCTTTTCCTGCTCTATGCAATAGCATACACCATATTCGGTCCCTATTTATCATTTCCTGCCTATCTCCTAGTTACTAGTGATATAACCATCAATTTAACCCAGAGGATTGGTGTAAGCATTTTTTAAATATCAAATAAAAAAAATTGCGGTTGAAGATGTGTTTGCCAGGCTTGACAACTACAATGAAGATTAGTGACATAATCATCCCGCAGATCCCAGCGGCCATGAAAAATAGGGGTAGGGGATGATGAAAATAGGGGAATTATGATAAACTTATTTCCAAAAGTGGTGCCATAGAATGTTGATTGGTCGAGTTCAATTGGTTCTCCCAAAAATAGTTTGATTTCATTATTGTGACACCACAGAATGTTTAGATTCGTGAGGGGTTGTAATGATAATGATGATGAACACGAGATATGTGGAAATTAACTATGAGTCAAAATGTTGTAAAAATCATCAAGATCCCTTATCCATTATTCATATTCACTCCCATCTAATTAATTTCCCGTTTCCTCTTCACCTTATCCTGTGTTCCGATCCTTCCCAGGGGTATGGAGGCACTTGTAGTTGAGTATATTAGGGTGCTCCTCTTTGGGCCGACAATACCCAAGATAGCGATGGGCGTAGTGTACTTCCTGACGGTCATGATGCTGGGCGGTCTCTTCTACCTTATCTTCAACGATATCGGCATGTGCAGAGCTTTCTGGAGAATCTGGCGTAACATGAAAAAGCCGAAAGAAGCCCCTCCTCCCGCGTGGCAGCAGGTTATTTAAAGATTTCTTTGTACATCATCACGTATTTTATATACGATTCCTGTATTCCTTGAAACGTATCGTTTTTTTGTTACAATCCATTTCGTTAAGTGTTTAAAAACTGCTTTTATAGAAAATGATTCGTTTGAAAGTACGTACTTACAACAGTTTGAAAATAACAACGTAATTGGCACCGGTCCTAACGCGTCTTTTTCGGTACTCCTACTCCCAAGGCGTAGTCCCGAATTCATGGAAGACAGCTTTTGTCCACCCGATCCCTAAAAAAGGCGACCGCTCAGACCCATCCAACTATAGGCCTATCGCGATCACCTCCTTGTTCTCCAAAATAATGGAATCCATTATTAACTGCCAGCTCATCCGGTACCTTGAGGATCACCAGCTGATTAGTGACCGCCAATACGGTTTTCGTCGGGGTCGATCAGCTGGTGATCTTCTGGTCTACCTGACCCATAGATGGGCGGAGGCAGTAGAGTCCAAGGGGGAGGCGTTGGCCGTTAGTCTGGACATTGCGAAGGCCTTCGATCGGGTTTGGCACAAAGCGCTTCTTTCGAAGCTCCCTTCCTATGGGCTTCCCGAGAAATTGTGCAATTGGATCACCAGCTTCCTTGCAGATCGGAGCATCAAGGTCGCTGTAGACGGTGCATGCTCTGACTACAAGCCTATTAACGCTGGTGTTCCACAAGGCTGTGTGCTATCACCAATGCTGTTTCTTCTGCACATCAATGATATGTTGCTAACTGGTAACATTCATTGATATGCGGATGACAGCACTGGTGATGCTCTATACACCGGCCGTGCCAATATTTCTCGGGAAAACGTCGCTGAGTACCGGAACAAACTTGTGTCTGAAGTCGAGTCTTTGCTGAGCAAAGTCTCGGATTGGGGGCGACTAAATCTAGCCCAGTTTAATCCTCAGAAGACACAAGTTTGCGCGTTTACCGCTAAAAAGAACCCCTTTGTCGTATCTCCTCAGTTTCAAGGCACTCTCCTTCTTGCTTCAGCCAGTATCGGTATCCTCGGAGTCGACATATCGAGTGACGTGCAGTTTCGTTTTCACTTGGAAGGGAAGGCCAAATTGGCCTCTAAAAAGCTTGGCGTGCTCAGCAGGGCGGGACAGTATTTCATGCCGGCACACCGCCTGCAACTTTACAAGGCGCAAGTTCGGCCTCACATGGAATACTGTTCCCATCTCTGGGCAGGGGCTCCCCAGTGCCAGCTCCTTCCACTTGACCGCATCCAACGCAGAGCTGCTCGAATCGTCGACGACCGAGCCCTTTCCGATCGGCTCGATTCATTGGCACTGCGAAGAGATGTTGCATCCCTTTGCATTTTCTTTCGGATCTACCATGGGGAGTGCTCTGAGGAATTGTTCGGATTAATCCCAGCCGCCAAATTTCACGAACGCACATCGCGGCAGAACTCCCGATACCATCCACACCATCTGGATGATTGGCGGTCCACCACTGTGCGATTTAGAAGATGTTTTCTTCCTCGCACGACCTCCTTGTGGAATCGATTACCATCAGCGATTTTTCCGGCCCGATACGACTTAGGGACCTTCAAGAAAAGAGCGTACTCCTTTTTAAAAGGCCGGCAACGCATCTGCGATTCCCCTGGTGTTGCAGTTGTTCATGGGCGGCGGTAGTCACTTACCATCAGGTGAGCCGCATGCTCGTTTGCCCCCTCTCCTATAAAAAAAAATAATTTGTTGTAAGTTACCCGGTCAGTAGTTACTCGAGATTAGTGAATTTCATATTTTATTAAAAAGAATAACACAATTTTTATCGTATGATCAAAAAAATAAAACGTATTTTTGAATGTAGTTAATGGCCATTTGTAAAAATAGACTTTGACACAGTAGTAATATAGTATAAAATGCACATATATCTCATTTTAATTGTGTAATCCTTATCACTTTTTTGCAATGTAGCTGACTCAGGACCACATGACTTGTGCTGCTGCTTTTGGGACAGTCGATTTGTGTAGGGCCATAATAGTGATGATGATGATGATGAATCATTTTCATATAAACAAGATTACGTCTGTGTTTCCATATTTTCCTAATCCGTGTGCTTTCATCTTTTCCTAAATTTTTACGTCACTGATCCGTCTTTTTAGTCAGTACATATTCTAAAAGTATTATTGTATATACAGTGCAACCTCGATATAACGAAACTGAAGGGAATTAGGAAATATTCGTTATACCAAGTAATTCGTTATAATGAGGTTTGTTATATAGAGGTTATGTGGGAAGAATCATTTAACAAGGTAGGAAAACTTGTTTATCAACCTCAACATTACGGAAATACTTTCTAACGTGTCTGAACCTGTCAAGACATGATTTACTGTGGAATTAAGTGGGAATAATTAGTAGGATACGTTATGTCAAGGTTGTAAATTGAAAGAAATTCGTTAAATAGAGCTAAATTATACCATGCTAAAATTCGTTATAAAGATGTTTTTGATAAATGTATTCGTAACGTAGAGGTATATTTTGCATTAGCTATTACGAGCAGTTTATAGTAAGGTAAGTTTATGGTAAGGTAAGTAGTTTAGGGTATTTTGAAAAATTCGTTAAATCGAAGAATTCGTTATATTGAGGCCCATTATATCAAGGTAACATGTTATTTTATATAAAATTGATGCTACAAACGAATTTAAGTACACCTGATGGTAAGTCTCTAGTGCAGCCCATGGACACCTGTAAACACTTCAAAAAAAGAATACCATGCGTTGTCACCTCTGAGGACTGATATGGAATGCCTCACAGCCTGCAATTATGTCTTTTCCCCTATTTTTATTCCTATTCTGTAGGTTGATGAAGGAAACTTAGTTCTTCTTCATCTTCATGGTCCTAGAAAAGTTCACTGCTGGATTGCAACTCTACTATTACTGGAAGGCCTTGCCTTAATTGACAGGCGGAGTGACAATCGCGGTGACAGACTTTTTTATAGAATAAGGGTGACAAACGAGCACACAGTCCACCTGATGGTAACTGGTTGCTGCGGCCCATAGACATCTACATTTATCCTCGTATGCGAATCAAAATGCAGCAGCGTTGTCACCCGTGAGGACTAAGATGGAATGCCTCTTTTCCAGTAAAAAGGGTCTCCGGTTATCTACACTCACCATACGAAACACAGCAGTGTTAAGCTGCTATTTTACGCTGGTATTCTGTGAGAGCGTGGTCCTTCCCCGGTCGAGCCGACCCATTCATGCAACAACTATACTACTAATATAGCTGCAGCATGGCTCTATCACGTATAAACGTCTTGCTTCTGTTGCCAGTCGCCGTCGCCGCGCCGGTCTGGTTATTCTATGTCTATATTATATATGTTAGTTATACTGCAGATCATGAGGTCCCGGGTTCGTATCCCGGGTCGGGAAAAAATCAGTTATTGAGTTTTTTTTATCAAGAAATTTTCAGTAGCAGACTACGAAAGCACGTAAAGCCGATTGGTTCTGCGCCTGAGAGTGAGGGAATAAAGAGTTCACCTGTGCTTGCGTCGGGCATCTCTTACACTCGGGCATCCCATTGAGACTTGCCATCGTGATTGAAATTCAGGGACATTATTATTACACGGTCATTCATCAGAAACCTCGAAATCTATCTTGAATTTTCTATAGTCGCTTCTTACGACACCAAGCGGACGAAATGACTTACGCTCCCACCAAAAAAAAAACCTAGTCTTTCATATTTTGTTGCTATTGCAATAAAATATTTAATAATTACTTCTTATTTTCTTACAAGAGTAACGTTCGTTATAAAATGTCTTAATGTATCACTAATTGTTATGATTAAGTCTAATTAGTTTTTAACGGCGTAATGTAAAGTAGTTCTTAATAAGTCCAGTATAACGATCTAAATTAAGAAGTGGAAATAAATCCATGTACGTGAGTTAAATGTTTACAAGTGGCAGAGCCACACTGCATCTATATTATGGTTGTAGCACGAATGGGTCGACTCGATCGGGATGGAACCACGCTCTCACAGAAAACCAGCGTAAAATAGCAGCTAATGCTGATGTGTTTCGGTATGGTGAGTGCACAGAGCCGGATACCCTTTTTACTGGATACGAGGCATTCCATCTTAGTCCTCAAGGATGTCTACGCATCTGCGTTTTGATTCTTAATTGAGGATACATCAGATGGCCAGTGTGCTCGTTAGTCACCCATATTCTACAAAAAAATGTGAATGTTACCTATCGAGCAAATGACTGCCCTCTTAGTTTAGTGGTCATAACGCGACCGCTAATCAAGTACGTCTCGGGTTGAACCAAAATCACTTATTGGTTTTTCTATCAAGTTCTCAGTACTACCCGGTGTCAGGAAGTTGTTTTACGCCATTAAAAGCACGTAAAGCCGTTGGTGCTGCGCCTGATCTCTCTTTAGTCGTGTAGGATTGCCGTGCGATCGGACTATGAGAGTGAGGGAATAGAGAGTACCTTCATCATGCTTACGTATACTCGTGCACTATAATTTTGTCCTGTGCTGATATCTCAACGGAGACTGGCCGCCGTGACCGAAATTTGATCTGTACGTTATTATATTGTACGCAACCTAGTACAGATTAAAATATTTTTATAGAATAAGTGTGACAAACGAGTATATAGTCCATCTGATAGTAAGTGGATATATAAGACCGAGGATTAATGTCTATGACATTAATCCTCGGTAAAGAATCTGATAAAGATATTTTACGCTGATATTCTGTGAGAGCGTGATCCTTTCCCGGTCGAGTCGAGCCATTCGTGCTACAATCATAATATAGCTGCATCGTGGCTATCACGAAAAAGTACATTGATTACATCAAATTAAAATTGAGTTTTGTTCCGCAGGGGCCTAGAAGCGATAGCTGTTGATTACGTTCGTGCAAGCATATTCGGTTCGGTCATTCCCAAAATTGCCATTGGCCTGGTGTACCTTCTTTCGATAGCCACCCTCGGAGGTTTGTTCTATATCATCAGCCACGATGTTGGCCTAGCCAACACTGTCCGGCAGTTCTGGGCTGTAAGGTCTCAAGGACAGAATGCCTAAAGTATATGACCGTGTACTGCACAACTTAGATGCTGGTTGAAAACATAATTGGCTTTAATATTATTTGTTATTGTTATGTATTTGATTTAAATTGACTTGTACTTACAGATATTTTACATTGTTTAATTTTTATTTTCTCTTCAAAATGTATTTGTAAATGTATTTTCTATTACATTAGATACTATCGCCTAAATTGCGATAGTATCTAATGTAATAGAAAACAATTCTTTATTGGCATCCTTATACTTATTCTTTTTTTTTAAAGTAAATTGATGTTGAAAACATCTATATTCAATGATTTGTTTTTAGGCTGTGTGGGCAGAATTCTTTGCCTTTAAATAATTTAAAAATAACTTGTTGTGAAGAGATCGAAGATTAGATTTTACAATTGTTACCATTTTTTTTACACAAAACCCTCGATATGTTAAACTTATTATATAAATAAAAATTCCAAACGGAAATAAAACTTTAAACTTTTGTTCGTTAAACCAGCATCTAAGCGTAATTTGTTATTTTTATTGTTAAATTTTGTGGCAGTTTTTTTATGCAGTAATTACAAAAATGTTCAAATAATATAATATATTGCAATAATCCTTTTTTATTACCACAGAATGCGTACTTTCTTATTTTTTCAATGTTTTGTCAAGTCTGTTACAAAATAAATGTGGTACTTAAGCAAAGCACATTTTTTTTTCGAATTATATCATGGTATTGTTATACACTGATATATGTAATTGCGTGTTTAACACAACTTGCGTTACGCATTTAAAACTTTTGACATTTTGACAATCAAATTTGATTGTAGCAATGTTTTCCCGCGTTTAATGTTGAACTTAAAGATTTCTAATTGAAAGTGTTGAGCAATAATTGATTTTTCCTAAATACTTTCATATTTTGTTAAAGTATTGCCTGTTTAGTATATTGTATAGAAGTTAAAATCACAATATGAAAATTGTGTATGCGGATTCTGCGTTCAAGTGAAGTTATATGTGCTGACGAAGTATCTTTCAGACTTATGCGAAATAATTTATTGATAGATTAATAAACGTATTTTTAGTTGAATGTTGTTGTTTTATTATGATTTTGTCTCTGGGACAAGTATGAGTTCCTGGTAACTTTAAATAGAGTCTGCAAGCAACGAAACCCTTGCAGGCACAACTGGATTGTTAACATCAATTTTACCCTGTCATCATGCGTTATTAAGTCATTTATAAAAATTGGACGTTACTACCCTTAATAGTTTGTGCATGTGGTGTTTACCTTAATTAATTGTGCATTTGGCTGTAAAACACATGTTATTGTTAAATACTCATTAATGTATAATTGTTACAATTGCTGGTAAACCTAATAAATAAATAAAATAAAATTTAAAACAACAAAAACTAGGTTTTGCTAATTTATAGCATTCTATAACCATTACTAATATTCTCTGTAACCACTCCTGGTAAGCTAAAAATATTTGTGTTAGAAGTGGTTCACGACAGTAGTTGAACGGCGGATTCGAACCCATGACCTTTCGAGCTCGCGGTCAGCACGCTGCCCTTAGAATACTGTCGCTTAAATGTTGCACTTAAATGTAACAATGTTGCACTCTCTCAGCCAGTCATTTTAAAAATAGTGGTTTTAATGATATGTGTATATTTAATGATAAGTAAAATAGCAATTAATCGATTTAAAAAAAAATTATTAAGTTTTAACAATCATTTATCTTTCTGACACTGTCCTTTTTATATCATACAATATCATTGCTAGATACGATTTCATGCGACAAAACGTTGAAATCTTAATTTTTAGGCGATAGTAGAAGTAGAACATACCTTGCGCTTTCGCTTAAGGCATGCAAAAAAGTAGTTAAGTCGAAAGTAATGGATGGCGACTTAAAAAAATGCATCCCGTATTTTATTCTCAGACGACATCCTGGCTTCTTGTAATGCCGAAACTCTTGAAAGCCGTCAGAAGCATCATTCGGCCAATCCTTCTCAAGGTTTACAGCTGCCTGCCAAGACTTATATGCAACCTTTACAAATTTCTGAAAAAGACTTTTTAGAAGCAATTATGTTATTTTCGAATGCCTCTGCTGACGGCATTGACGGAATTACGCCTCAACATCTTAAAGATCTTTTAAGCGCTTCTGCCGGTGACGCCGACGGAGTACTTAATGACATTACAAAATTATGTAACTTTATGCTTTCTGGTAATGTTAGTCCAAATTTCATTGCATACTTATAAGGAGCAAGATTATATGCCTTCAAAAAAAAGGATAACGGTATCCGTCCTATTGCCGTTGGTTCCCCATTTCTACGCTTAACTTCAAAATTAGCTTGCAGGCACATAATCTCTAACCTTAAGACAAAATTCCGGCCTACTAAACTAGGCTTTGGCACTAGAGGTGGCGGTACATTCAATGCGTACATTTTAACAAACTCTGATGCAGATGTTCTTGTGAAGGTTGACCTAAGGAATGTTGAACTCCATCGATAGGGTAATCCTGCTGAAAGAAGTGGCTAAGCAAACCCCGAAATTTATCATTACGATTGGCAATGTTACAGCCAAAAAACTAACTTGTTTTACGAAAACCATGTTATCGATTCTGCTGTCGGTGTTCAGCAGGGTGACCCACTAGGGGTCTTACTATTTTTAAATATTGTCTCTTACTTACTTACTCCGTTCGAGTCCATTCTGGAAATGTTCGGATATTTTAAAAGATATTGATAATAATCTTAAAATAGCTATAGAAAAAAATTCTAAATTTAACTTTAAATACAACAGCCTGGACTCAAGCTACTTTACCTTAAGGTATTGGTGTGAGAAATTTTTCTAGCGTTGCATTGCCTGTTTTCCTTGCTTCCGAGCATAGTGTCAGTGAAGTATGTCCCGGCGAAAATATTACACTGGAAGTTAACCAACGAAAACAGTGGGATATTCCGTTGGTACAGAACGTGCAGAAAGATTTGTTTCATAATTTCCATAGTGACCAAGATAAGGCACGCCTTCTATCTGTTTCAACTAAGGAAAACTATTTTTCAACTATTTGTATTTTTGATGAAAAAAATCAGACTCGCCCGATTGCGATATTTGTCATATTATAGAAGATGTCCAACATATGCCAGCAGAAGGTGTCAAATATCAAAGGGAAAGGGAGAATCTGGTGCAAAAATTTAATATCAATTTGAGTGAAATGGGTTGCTTTTGAGTATACTTGCGGAGCCACACTCAGTGGTAGTAGAATAGAATCATTAATTTCCATATTCTTACTACATTGATTCCCCCTTTCTAAATAGCATTTGTGTATCACGAATAAGTTAGGTTACGATAAGGTGGACATATCCTTGTAGGATAAAAGCCTTTTTAAATAAAGATAGATAATTAAAAAAAAACTAAGGAATCTAGTCACTGGTTACACGCTTTACCATCAAGTAATCTCGGCACATTACTTGATGGGGAAAGCTTGCTCATCGCCGTAGGAATCCGACTAAGAGCGGCGATTTGTCAACCCCATCAGTGCCCCTATGGTAGCAGCGTCGGCAAGTTTGGGCTTCACGGACTTTCATGTAAGAACATTGCTGGTAGGTTTTCACGGCACGGTTCTTTGAACGATGTCATCCGAAGGGCTCTTGTCTCTATAAATGTTTCCTCGGTTTTAGAGCCTTGTGTAATATTTAGAGACGATGGCAAGAGACTCGACGGTATGACATTGGTCCCTCGGAAGAGAGGTAAAGCTCTAGTGTGGGATGCTTCTTTGGCGGCCTCTCATCTCTGGGCTACCTCATATAGAGCCGGGGGAGGCTGCTGAACTGAGTAAGTAGCGCAAATATGAGTCTTTGAGAGATGACTACATATTTGTGCCATTTGCTGTAGAGACTATCGGTCCGTGGGATCCACGTGCGGTGGGGTTCCTAAAGGAACTCCATCCGCGGCTGGTCGTTGCAGCTGGTGATAAGAGGGCTGGTTCTTTTCTCGCTCAAAGGCTAAGTATAGCCATTCAGCGGGGAAACGCAGCCAGCGTTCTTGGCACATTATCGCGGGGAGTAGGATTTTTTGATAATTAAATTACTACTTTTAGTTTTTTTTTTTATTATAATTTATAACATTGTATATAATAAAATATTGTATATTATGTTAATTAAAAAAAATTAACCCGATATTTCCATTTACCCCAAATGATGTCGACAGAAACAGAAACTTTTTTTATTCAATATAGATTATAAATAATACTTATTTAAAGTCACTCTTTTGTTTAATTACCACTGGTTCGAAAAATAAAACCTCTGTCCTGGGAAGAACCAGCAAGAAACCCATCGGGGCTTTTTTTTTTAAATAACAGCTTACAATCATGTATGTTATACAAATTAGAAATAGTTTGGTAGCGATCACCTCATTTCCAGGGGTCATTATCATCCTTAAATTCTTTAGTATTATAATAACCCTTTTTATACAAACTTAGTTTAATAAAGTTTTTGAACTTTGAGCAGATCAAATTTTGTATATTTCCTGGAAATTTGTTGTATGAATTACTGACTCGATGGAGTCGAGTAATTGGTACTACTAGCTTGTGTGTGTTCCTAGTGTCTACAGAATGAATCACTTAGTTTTGTAAAACTACTTTTATTTTTGTGTAGGTACGTACATTACATTTTCATAAATGTATTGAGAGCCCAAAGTTAATATAGATATTAATTTCCTTAAATTTTTGTCGCAGCGACACTTTAGGCTTTAAATCATAAATTTCTCTTATGGCTTTCTTCTGTAAAACAAATATAATTTCAGTGTCAGCTGCGTGTCCCCATAGCAAAATACCATACGACATTATGCTATGGAAATAGCTAAAGTAAACGAGTCTAGCTGTTTCAACACTAGTTAGACTTCTAATCTTTTTTACAGCATATGCTGCAGAACTAAGACTGCTTGCTAGTTTTGATATATATGGGGGCTCCATTGAAGCTTCGCGTCTAGTGTGATTCCAAGAAAAATGGTGGTATCTACAAGACTCAGTTTCTCCC